GCCCCCGGGTCCAGGAGCACAGGAGGGGCCCAGCCTGGCCTTGCTATGCAACCAGCCTACTGTGTCCAGGGACATTCGAGAAATCCGGTGGTCCCTGTAAGGCAAGTGCTTGAATCCCAGGAGAGATTCAGACGCCTCCTGTTAGGCTCCGTCTACCCTACGAGTGTCTCGCTTAAAAAAAAAAAAAAAAGCTAATGAGGTACTCATTTGCATGAGTCGCAATCTAATTTGCATATTTCCTGCGGCTCCGTTTTTGTGCTGGGGCTTTTGCAAACAAACAAGCAGTGGGGACGTTTTCTTTTAGATATTTAAGAACAGGTTGGATAGACATCTGTCAGGGATGGTGTAGACGGAGCTTGATCCTGCCTTGAGGGCGGGGGGCTGGACTCGATGACCTCTCGAGGTCCCTTCCAGTCCTATTATTCTATGATTCTATGATTCTCCAGGACACAGCCCAGCACAGATGTGATGTGGACATAAGGAGTCAGGGGCTGCCCTAGACCCCTTGACAGGGGTGCACAGGGCCCTGAACCCCCAGCACTCCGCTTAGTCTGTTCTCTCCATGGTTTCCCAGCCAAAAAACTGCCCAGCTCCGCAGCCCTGCCCCCCAGCCAAGTGGCTATGGACTATGGGACATGAGGGTTCTCAGGGCTACTCCCCACTGGGCAGTGCTTACAGACGCAGGCCAGTAGGGGTCACCCACAGCCCAAGGATAGCGACCAGCGAGTAGACAGCTCCCCACTAAGCCACGCCCCACCAAAAGGAAGTATACCGATCTTGAGGAAAAAGAGGGTTTTGCACGAATAGAAAACGTCCCCATGGCTTGTTTTTCTGCAAAAACCCCAGCGCAAAAAACAGATCGGCACAAAATATGCAAATGAGATCACGGCCCATGCAGATGAGTCCCTTGGGTTGTAAGTCGGCAGACCCCTGGGTTGTAAGAGTGTAGCTACCTGATACAGCAGGCCCTCTTGTGGGGTCTGGGCTTGAGTTTTCAGCTCCAGGAGAGTCACAAGAGGGTGCTGTGAGCCAGTTGATCAGCCCTCACAATGTGCATTTAGTTCAGCATTCACAGAACACAAGAGACTCCCACAGGGTCTTAAACACCCTTCCACAAATTTTATTGCAAGCAATTCAGGAACAGTTTGAAAAGTATTATATGGAGGGCTCAACAAATTAGGCACTCTATTCGCCCTTGGTGAGTAGATTTTAGCCTGGGGTGGCTACGCCGCACAGTCAGCACATGTGCAGTGTGTGCTTCCGCTTGGCTGGCAAATGGGGCGCGTCGCCGCTTGATTATATGTATTTATATTTCGTAGTAAGCAATTAAAACGGCATTCAAAGGCATCACAAGCATTAAAAAGCACTAAAAGCAATATTTAAATGGAACAATTAGCAATCTACATCTAATTCTTAACCCAATTTAGCATCCTAATTCTTAACTCAATGTACCACGCACACACTCATCCACACATTCCACTCACACTCTGGGGCTGGCCAGACCCCAGGTAATGTTGGTTAATTTGGTTGAGGCGGACATCCGATGTGCACATCACCCCAACATGCCGAATCGATGGATTACAACTTGGGGGGCAAAATGGTGTGTGGTATATAACCCCTCAGGACATGCCCACCTCGTCACACAGAGTCATTCCATGTTTCTATTTAAATATCTCTAAACGGTGTCAAATTTGCCTGTGAATTCCAGCTCAGTAGTGATTCAGTCTGCTTTGGAAGGATTTTTTCTTTTTTTTTTTTTTTTGGTGGCCAGGGAATGGCTGTTTGCAAGCCAGTAATGGCATTTCCCGGGGGGGTTCGGGGGTCCCCCCCACGGTGCTACCCCACGGGCATTTGTGTGTTGTCACCCTCGGTGTCTGATTTGTGTCTGTTTATTCTTCTGCGCAGAGACAGTCGGGTGTGTCCGATGTACATGGCAGAGAGGCGTTGCTGGCAGATAATGGTTTAAATCACATTATATTCCAGTAGTGAAGGTGCTCAACTCAGCTATTTGGTCAAGATGGGGTGTCAAAATGTCCCACTATAAAGGGCTGCCCCCACACCCCCACCCACCCACACACACCCACACACACACACCATTTTTCACACTTGCTATCTGTCCCCTCTATTTAAGTTTTTGATAGCCCCACAGTCAATTCAGACACTGGCATTCTGCTCTATGTTTTGAGGAACCCCCATTTCAATGTCTCCTTGGAACTTGTTGCTTCAGTTATTACAGCAGCTCTTGCATCTCTTGTTCAGGAAAAAGCTCAGGGCGCTTATGGCAACGAGGGCTAGTCCCGCAATCTGTAGAGGAGAAAGCACAGCACTTTCAAACTGGTAATCGGAATTGGACTTTTCTCTTCACAAACGTGCTGTCCCCCCCGCAAAGGTGGAGATGAGCAGAGTGAAGTGCAGCTAATGGCCCCTGGGCATAGGCTGTGGGGGGCAGGGGGAGGGGGAATCAAAACCTCTAGGGATGGAGATTCCAGTCCCTTCCCAGGGAACCCATCCCAGTGCTTCTCACCTGCCTAGGGAAATGGTCCCTGTGCCCAGGTTCTGGGATTCAGGACTTGAATCTCCGTGTGTAAAATGGTACGAATTGGAACTGGCAGCACTGGGGGCAGCTAGAAAGCTGCATCACTCGCCTGCCCCACAGCGCATCACATTTCAGAGCAATCCAAGTAAGCTGAGATTTTAGAGCCCTTAGACCCACCCTTTAAACAGAACACCAGGGCCCTTCTTACCCATACGCAGAATACCCAGCAGCGTAGGTGTGGCGATGCATCAGGGACCCTGCGACCCTGCACCCCATCTCCAGCAAGATGAGACTCTGGCAGCTAGTAGACTAGAGAAGGTTTATTCCTTCTGCGAGGTACAGCACAGCCTGGGTTCTATGTGGGCATCAAAGCGAGGGGCCAGGCAGCCTCAGACCCCTTGGGGCAGGGGACCACAGAGCCCGAACCCCCAGTACTCAGCTTAGTCTCTTCTCTTCATGTTTTCCTCTGACAAAACTCCCCAGCTCCCAGGCCCTGCCCCCCAGCCAGGTGTCCGTCTCCGCCTCCCTTCCTTTGGCTCTCCCCCTGGAAAGAGCCTTTTTATGTGCTTACGCTGGGACTCAGTGTCTGGGCCAATACACATGTGCATACACAATGAGAATCAGACCTCACAGCGCAGTCAGGTGGGAACACTGGTTTATAGAGAAGACAGCAACCCCACTACATCACAGTGGGGCATCTGAAAATCTGGGGCACCGCTGGGTCCTAGTGCCCACTCATCACCTCCTCCTATCCCTGTTCTGTGGCTCTGCTTCCTCCACAGCGGACCTAGATAAATGACAAGTGGCGAGCCGGCCAGAGCTAGGAGCAGCCCGGCCAACGTGGGAAAGGGGCGTGCGAGTGGCCAAGGCCCAAGTCCGGATGGCCAGTGTCTGAATAGACTGGGGGAGCCGACAGGATCTGAGGTTCAAATTTGCCATTAAACTCTTTCCTGCATGTGCTGTTGAAGGTTATAAACCCGCAGCTCTAAAAACGCCTCTGAGGACAGACGCTCGCTTGGAACAACAGCTTGGAGCGGGGGCGTTGGTGGCTGCGG